ATGTGCAGCATAAATTCACAAAATCTTGTTTTCTGATGTAATCAGATGGTCGATGGTCTTATTAATTCACTTACTTATTTATGCCCGTTTAAATCATGTCCTGTATTTCACATTGCTCCACAAAGCACCTTTATTTTATGTGCCTTATAAATAAACTTAGACTTAAAATGGTGTTTTGACCTTTTTAAGCTAGCCAAAGGTATATGGAGTGAAATAGGAGAAATATTCCTGACTATAGGTCTTGTTTTTAAAATTTAATAATATGAGTTCTCCTAAATTATGAATTCTCACCCCAGGGCAGGCATTTGTACCTGGCAACGTTTTCATTAATGAGAGAGCCGATTTAATTGACTGTGCTGCAGACTCGGTTTTGAGTCTGCATTTGACACACTACCCTTCACCTTTGCATGCACACACAATTATATACACACACACACACACACAGTGCTTTGAGCTGGCATGGCCCCAGGGAGCATCTCCTGGCATGGACTTTGCTGTATGCAAACGAGGGGGACTCTAACACCCAGTAATCCTTTGTATTTTACAGGAAGCATGCAGTCGAATAGTGGAAACTTAAGTTGGGTCTAGTCTGTCTGCGAGTTCATTTGTAGCACTGTTCACATTAATTGGAAGTGTATAAGAGCTTACTGGTGGCATGAGACAGAGCATCCAATGTGTTTTCTAAGCCTTTTTATCTGCGCTAATAACTGTGTACAGTATGAACTGTAACAGCAAGATCTCAAGTGGGTGGTATGTCATTAAAATCTCGATACTTCAGTTCTCATCTTTGTCTCGCAAAGTGATAGCAACATGCTGCACATTTATACTTCCTGTAGTTGTGTGAAAATCATTTCCTCTGAGGAAAAAGCATTGATTATTCTTTTAAAAAGCATCATTAAATCCTGTCACATGTAAGTGTTTACAGTATTAAAGTGTCAGGAAATTGTTGCTATAGTTACTCCATGTTGCTAAAGTGTTGTCAGCATAAAGAATGTATAACCAGCCATGTGCACAGGAAGCACAGATTCCCATATGGGTTAATTGTGCATCAATCTGTTGGTAATGCTACGGGTCACCGGTAGGGAAGGACTGCATTCCTGCTTTCTACTCAGAAAGATATGAGCCATGTATTGCTTATTACATTATTCACTTTTGTTGTAATTATTATGCAGAAAGCACAATTAAAACACGTTTCATATTCATATGAGAAAGATATCCATTTTTAAGACAGGACTGTTTTTATTATAGATGACATTTGTGTGTTTTATTGAGAAATACAATCGACCTTTATTTGCTCTCCACATTTAAGCCTGGAGACCCACCAAAACACCGGTTCAGTTCTTATTAACATAAAACTTTTTTTTTTTATTTGTTGATTTTTTTTACATGGGGTCATGTTGTATGCAATGTTTTGATTACTAATTGTTAACAAAAAAAATATTAATTACTTCTGGGCCTAAGTTATTATACTCCTAGAGTACTTTGGCACTGCATGTGCTGATTGTACTGTTAGATAACACTGATGAGCTCTTACGGACATCCTAATGTGAGGAGCTACTGGAGATATCATCAGTGATCAGTGTTTTCTTTGGCCTCACACTGCCCTGTGCTTGAATGGATATGTGTTTCTGCGTGATACAGTGCTTGCCTTTCATTTGCATGTGCCCCCCCACCCCCCTTCTTCCTTCTTTTTCACGGCATTGCTTCCTCTTGTCTCTTTCCCCACTCCACTGCTTCCTCTCACCTCATGCTCTTTTTATCTGTCCCTCGAAGATAAAAGCAAAGCGTGCATCGCGAGGGAACGATTAGTCTCGGCCATCTCAAATAACTATTGTATGTCTCAATCACCCTCATTCTCAAACTATCTCCTCCAGTGCCAGGCGTAGCATTAACCCACACTGGAGAGGCCCTGGCACTCCAACTCTAAAGGCAGCTTAGAGTCTATTTTACATTTTATCTCATTACATTTGCATCTGCTAAGCCCTCTGTCTGCCATCCTCATCGCTTATAGATCATTCACTCATTTTTTGTCTTATATCACTTAACCTAAGTGTTCATTTTTCTTTT